GTATGCTTATATTTTTTTGCCACTCCTCATCAGTATCGAGCCAGGAGGATGTGGTCCCCTTATCTTCAAGGTCACAATAGATTATTTCTTCTTCTATCAATCTTTCCCACACTGACATGTCCATATATTCTTTAGGGTCTTCTTCCCCCTCTTTTGCATAACCGCACATCCGAGCGTCAGTTTCCATTCTATCCCGGAATGCAATGGAGTCGAGCCTGTCCTTTTCTGAAATAGTTACAAATATATCGGGATCCTCACCAAGTTCGATTGCCCTTTTTCTGAGGCGCTCTTCGCACTAGGCCCTGCTCAGAAGTATGGCAGATGGTACTTCATTGATAGGCTTGGAAGAATCAGTTTTTTTAGGAGATGTATCCAGCACTTCACTTATAGGCTCAATAGATTCAGGTGACTTACTAGCTTTAGGCTTTTTATTTACTGTCTCAGGTGGTTCAGAAGTCAAAGAAGTCCCAGATGTTGAAGCGACTGGAGCTTTGGCTTGTTGAGACGGGGCTGTTTTTGAGAGAGTGATTTCTGGCACATTGAATATAGATATGTCTGCTGTCTCATTTTCCGGTAAGTCAGGCTGAAGTGTATCAGAAAATTCTTCGATATCGCCTAGGCCAGATTCACAGAGCTTAGCTATGATTTTGGCATGATCAAGAATATAATGGTATTCTCTTTTTCCATTATTCTGCAAACGTGTTCTATTAATACCAATTTGTGAAAACTTCTTTCCAAGAATAGCACTGCTAAATGGTTTCTCCCCATTTTTTTCACACCATTCAAGATATTCTTGATATAATTCCGTACAGTTCAGTTTATCAATCATTCCTTCAGTCTGTGAAAAAACATAATTGATAATGAATCGAATGGGATTAGGGAGTTGGTCTCGCATTGTTTCTACTCTCATTTTTGTATTTGAAATATTTTGTGGTATCCAATCTGAGAGGTCTCGTTTTAATAAATAATTCATAAAAATACCAGGTGTTTTTGGATTATCTAAAATTTT